AAACAAACAAAAAGGTATTTGATTTTAATTGCCTATTAGAATGTTTATGTTGCATTGGCATGCTACATCTGCCCCTCTGTATACTCATTCTCTTTTACAATGCCAAGAGCAAGTCTTAATAGAGGGTGTTGCTAGAATAATCTATTAAACAATTAGTTTATTTAAAGTGTATGAAGGTATAAATCTGAGTTATTCAGAGATGTGGACACATCTGATCAAAAGAGCAGGAAATGTGATTCTCCTTCTTATGAATAAACTATATATAAATGAATTAATGATTTTTTGAGCGGAGTGCAAGAATTTTATCTTCTAAGTCTTGTGTGCTTTAGTGGGATCCTCAAAACATCAGGCATCCTATTTATACATACCTCTGCCTTCTGAAAATCTTGTTCTCTCAGTTCTTGAAGAGAGCTTCACAAACTYATGAAGCTGAACAAGTTTGTGATGGCATCATGTTGTTTGCTTAGGTGAAGTCGAAAGCCCTGACACTGGCAGATATGCAGGCTTTTCTCCAGAGGAGAATAGATGAAGATGAGAAGATGAAGTTGGAAATAGGAGACATTTTCCAAGAGCTCACGTGGTAATTGTTTGTTTTGCTATGCTCAGCTACATTTTAGTTCTGCTCTAATATAGAACCAAGARTCACACACAGAATTGGATCAGCTGGGTGCTCTACCACACATAGCTAGAATTCTCTCACAGATGAGACCTAAGATAAAAGCTAAAGAAGCTGCAGTAATCGCTCTCAGTTGTAATATGCTGCTCATTCACAAGCCCTATTTTCACAGAGCTATTTGGGCTTGTAATTTTTCTTTTTTTCATGCATGCATTCACAGTCATTGTCCTTCAGCAACAAACACCAGCAGGAACTGTACAAGACAGGTATTGCCTTGGAATTCCCTGTATTTTCCTTTCAATTATTGTGAAGGATTTGCTCAGTAAGGATACTTCCATAGTGTTTTAAGAAAACAAAAATCCAGTGGGTGAGAATATTATGTATAGAAATGAACTGCAAATTTTGAAGTCATTTTGGGAACAAAGAGAACACAGGCTAAATCTGAAAGAATAAACCCTACATGAACATATATCTTAATACATCAGTAATAAACAGAAAAGTTTTGAGGATCATGGAAGTATTTATATGTGTGGTAAAACCACTAACTGCTTTTGGGTTTCTGCCATTCTAGGCTGCGGGAGGAGAAGATGAAGCTTCAAATGAATTTGACTGTTCAATTTTTGCTAAAACAAGGACAGGTGGAATTGGAAAGCACTGAGCTCCCAGATTTCACTGATGCCATTCTTATTAATAAGAGTGTTATTGAAGAACTGAAYTGCACTATCATGGTAATGTACATTATCTGAAGGATATTTAAGTTCTTTAGACAAAGGTGTTCCCCCTCAAATGCTTTTTCTCCACTTTGACATCCAGTTTCTATTCATTACCACAAACCAGTAGGCTCAGTTGTACTAAGAATTTTGTAATGTCTCTCATAATTTAAAGATTGAAGTACAGACTTTTTCTTGATATTTGATCAATAAAGTTCAGATCAATGGAACAGCAACATTTTTTAGACACACCATCTCTTAGGCATATGCTGTAAATAGAGAATGCAAATAACCTGGGTACCAGTCCTAAAATTCCCTCATGGAAAAAACACAGTTATATTAYGAAAGAAATGATCAATAGTTTATAATAAGAGTTTAAAAAAATGCACCTTTTTATATAATGTGGAATTGATCATCATACTTTATACGCTTAAGTTTTTCCAAGTCTTGATAAAGGTTATTTTCTTAGGCATTTTAACTGTACAAAATTGCTTTTTACTGCTACTGCACAAATTCTTCAGTAATAACTCCAGAATACCTGATACAGAGCAAGTTAATATTTTGTGGAGATAAAGCACTTGAGCATTTTAACCAGATAGGATGATAAGAGAGAGAGAGGTTAGTTGTAATTTTCTTCATCTCCTCCTCCGACCCAATGCTGCAGTGCTGCACAGTGCCTAAAAGGCAACAAAATTCCACAAAAGATAACTCTCTGGAGCTAAGTCTGGAAAGAGACTGTATGGCACCCCTCCCTTACTAAAATTACGGCTTTGGAGGCTTGCCCATATACTTGCACATAATTATTCTGTAATTCATAAAGTATGTTAATTAAGATTAATCTCTTCAGGCTGAAGGAGAAAAGAAAATTGCTAGCATGGTGGAATGTAAAGACTTCTCTAAAGGGATATTTCAGCTGGAATGGGAACACAAGAAAATGAAAATGCAGATAGAAGATCTGAAACAGAAGGCTCGGGATATTCTAACATTACGTGTTTCAAAAGATCACCAACTAGTGAGTTACCTTCTGCTACGCCTTTTGACCACAAAAATTTTGCTGCCTATTCTTGTAGCATTGCTAGTTTCTCTTCGTTGCTTTCCAACTATGAAAAAAACTTGATGCTTCCTAGGTCAACAATTCAGTTTTCAAAAGTTTTGCTCTTGACATTGTTCAGTAGTGAAGTTCTTTGGGATGTTCACGTATAAGCAAGAGCAACATTATCCCTAACTCTTGGCTTATCTACTAGTGGCTTCTGCTGTGTAGAGTTCCCATTTTCTGAGTTTCATGTAATATGATTRCCTTTAAAGAAGGGCAAAATGGTTGAAAACAAACAGGCTTCATCTGGATTCTTTTACTTTTCCAGTTCCTAACTGTGCTGAACTATGACAGCCGTGTCACTCACCAGCTTTCAATGATGGAGCAGACTCTCATTGTCATGGACGAGGTAAATCCCAAACGAACTACCACATACTTCGTTTAAATTAATTTCTTCTCTTTTCATAGCAAAAGATGTTTTTACAGTGTAATTGCACCTGATGCAGTCAAACCAACTCTTCAATTAATTCAAGGGCTGCTTGCAGCATAGCCACAGCAGCACGTGGACGAATATGTGTACCCATATGTTTATTCACCGGGCATTCGGCAGTGTCTTCAACTTGCTCTSAGCAGTGACAGCAACACTGTCATGGCCAGTAGCTAAATGGTTGGAGGCAGTCATCATATATTGACTGCAGCATAGATAAGCCCTGCAGAGATTTTTAATAGTTACCCTGTCCCTTTCCAGCCCTCTAGCCAGCTTCACTAAAATCACAAAGTCCTTTTGTGCATAGGAGCCAAACAGTGTTCTCACCTCACTGCTTGCATTTACTTTATCTCCTCGCTTTTCCTTTTAAGTCTTACCTTTAATATACCCCTCTCCTTGACCCATAAGTCTTTGCTCCTTCTTCTCAGCTAATTATATTAGAACACCATTAAACATACTGGAATAAAATATGCAAAGGGTGGTATACAATAAAAGCTGTAACGGGCAGGTAATCAAACCAAAACCTATAAAAATTAATTGAACTATAATGCGGTATGGAAGATGATAGGTTTACATTGATATTTGTCAGAACACCTTTCATATTATCACATACATTTGCTTTATTTATTGGGAAATGGACAGCTGCACCAGAAGAATGTGAAGAACCGTCAGAAAATAATTAAAGAGCTGGAGAAATACATCAGCTTAAAGGAGCAAGCAAACTACAAGCTCAGCCTGGAGCTGCAAGAAATGCTTGTATCTGTCTCAGAAAGGGAGCATATCTTCAAGGCAGCTGGTAAGTCACAGGCAGTAGCACATTTTAAGGCGTAAGTGAAGTCCTCAGCATCAGCCCGTGGGGAAGGGCTGTGTGKTGATGGCTAGAGTGGCAGTTAACAGGGCCCTTTCTCCCAGAGGGATTTCAGCATCTGTTACTCTAGAGAATGTTGCTCTTGTAACCCAAGTTAAGTGATAGGCTGCTGAAATTAAGTCAAAGTACTGAGTTATTAATCCCTTCATTGGGCAAAATAAGTTATTTTTTCTCAGAACAGAGAGTTAGATTTTTAAAACCAGCGAGTACTTATTGGAAAGGCAAGAAAGCATGTTCAGGGCCTTGTTGAAAATTCTGCTATTTGCCACAATAAATATATTAAGTTTAACTTTATTTTTTAAGGCTGACCCCATTTATTAGAGAKCTTCAAGTAACCCTGGAACAGGTCCACTAAAGAAACAGACTATACTTCATCTACAAATACATACTACTCATTATACTTCRTTTTATGCAGACACACAGCTTGTATTTGAAGAGATTGCTCAGCAGCGTTATCAAGATATTTTGAGGCAGAAAAGGCTACGCGATAACGTAAAGAAACAGGAAGAGGAGCTCAGAGTTCTTCAGGCAGAAGATGAAAGGCTGAAGTTAAGAACATTACCTATGATTTGAAAAAAAAACAAAACAAAACAGAGTTCTAGTAGGTACAGTACTCCAGGGGTCTTGTCTATGAATAAAGTTTGGACAAAAAAAGGCTTCTGATTTTTTCTTCCAGCAAAAGATTTCTGTAGTAATTTCTTTAGAAAAGAACTTCACTTTGAGATGCATGGTTGTCTGTTTTGTACATTGATGTAGATTGTACACTGATGTACATTGATCTTTTCTACATTTATATTTGTTTGTGAAATGGTTATGAAATCAAAACACAAAATAGATATTAGCTCATTACAGAAAATAAATAGTAAAAGAAATAGCAGGATGGTAGAAGATATATTTATATATCCAGTAGTCTAACATGCAATTTTAGGAGATTGATATTGAACTACTGCAAGAAAGGCAAGAGCTATATTTGCACCTCCTAAAATGTCTGTGTTTTTTGATTTGAATTTAATTTGAATTAAAAACATCATTTAAAAACTGTTGAGAAGAAATCAATTATAAGTCTTGTAAAAAATGTTAATCTTGAAATACTTAGATAACAACATAGTGGGCATCTTAGATTCATCATACACAAGGATAAAAAATATACAGGAGTGGGAAAGATCTTATTTTAGGTGCTTCTTGAGTTTAGACTGCTGTATTTTGCATCACAACTATGACAGCCATACATGAAACAATATATGCATACACAAAAAAGGGAAAATAAACAATTTGAAATTAAGATAAACATTTCAAGCATCATGATAAATGAAACACTAAAGCTTTATTCAGCTTTACCACAGAGAAGTAAATGACACGCAATTGAAGTAGTCCCATTAGATGAGGCCTGTTTTTCCTGCATACTTACAGAGAGAAAAAGCATTGACTGTCACCTGAGGCAGCAGAAKGGAGATGTTTGCACTTTTCTTCACTCCCATTATTTCAGACTGCAGCAGAATGCTTTAGAGGCAGTTTCCCAAGAGAGAGGCATCTAGACCAGTGACTAGAAACTACTGCATTAGGGCACATTTCCCCTCACTAAAGCTAGGAGAATAACTCATTGCAGCTTCAGAGCATTAACTATATACAACTGATTTATCCTTAACTTGCAAACAGTACAAGTAACTGACAGGCAGCAGCAAGAAATTTGAAGTAAGTGCAAACAAAGAACTGAACACTTCCCCATCTGAATATCAACAGAAATGACAGTTAATTTGAGCTCATTATTTCAGGATAATCAAAGACTATCCATTAAACTATTACTTGATTATTAAAAAAAAAGCTATTCACTGATCAAGTCCAAGCCAGGTTTTGCAAAACAGGCAATAAGTCTTTTGTACAAATTAAAGCCTTCTACAGTGCCTRCCATACCAACATACATAGTTTTATGAATGCCTCATAGGAAAATCTGCCAAAGCATAAAGTCTACTAGTTTGAATAACACACTTCTTACACAAAGTTTATATTCAGTCTTTTCCACATGTATACATTTGTAACTTAAAATTTTGCAATTGTAGATTATGTGTCTACAAAGTCTTCTTCTGTTCTGCTGTAGTGTAATAACTTGTCTTCTAATCCAAAATTATCTATCAGCTGAGTGAGACTGACTTTCTTGCCATCTGCAGAGAAGGCCGACTGCAGCTCATAAAGCATCAGCTGAGTACTGCTTCTCCACTTCACTATCAAAGCCTGCAGTTCAGACAGGTTATTCTGAAATTGAGATAAAAATATTTCAGCAAATAACAGATACTATTAAGACCCTGCATCTATTTTTATTAGGCAATTTAAACTGAGACAATACACAAACACCACACATTTCTTGATTTAAGCAACAATAACAATTCACAATAAATTTGGATTTCAGTGTCAATTCTACTTCCAAGAACGTCAGAAATACTTTTTCTGAGTTTTCCCTCACCTTAGATCTGTACATCTTGACCAGTTTGAGTCTTCGAAGTAGATCTTCTTTCTCCTGCACTTGCTTCATGAGCCGTGCTTTCTCTTCCAGGGATTGTTGGTGATTAAGATTAGTCCTTAGCACACAAGAATTCTCTGCTGATTCACAGGGAGTGTTTTTCTGTAAGGAACTTTTGAAACAGRCATGTGCAGGGCTGTTTCTTTCCAGGCTTTCAGGACTATCTTGTAACCTGGAAAAATCTGCATTCTTCAATACACAAGTTTTGTCAGAATTGGCACAGTCTTTTTCTTCAGTGTCTATTTTGAGTCTTTTTGCCACTGTAAGATTAGCATTAAAGGAACGTCTTGTTTTCCTTAATCGCTCCCTCAAAGCTGCACTCATTGGCTAAAGAAAATTAAAGAACAACAAAAAAGGAGAAAAAAAGTCCTAATTTCTCAGAATAATCTCATTTTTGATTTATATCCTTTTTATTATTTTACACAGAATATAGAAAGGACGCTGTAAAGTCAGACTTCCTAATTATTGCTATAGCTTTCACAAACTAGAACAAAGTTACCTTCTTTCTTTCACACGTGCTTTCACACACAGCTGCAAGATACAGGAATGTTTCAAGGACYAAGTGCTGTAATCTTTATTAAAGCAAAATTGCTTCTCAAGTCTTCATGCAGAAGGTATATGACACATTTAAACTTAATTTTATTGCATTGTTTGATTTTCCCTGTAATGTCATGTAGATACAGATTGTTCTTGTTGCTCCTCTCCCCCAACACACACACACTCCTTCAYTAACAAGCATACACCAAGTAAAATTTTCTTCTTAAAAATGGCAGATTTTCATAAATGGTAGTTAACATTTTTACCTGTGGATTCTACCTGTGGAAAATGGATCTGAGGAAACTAGAACATTGAAAAAGGAAATTTAAAAGAAAAAACATTATTCAAATTATTAGCATGTACATAGCATATTGGACATACTGCTACACCATTCTGTATTCATAACAGACTTTCATATTTAGGGCAAACTACAGCAAAAGCATTCCTTACCTGGACAACCTTGCAGTTATAGGTATAAGCTACTTACAACTTTGTCTTATAATCTTTAGCCTTTCAGCAACAGTACCTCACCACCTACTTAATGGTTTCATAATTACTTCTGTCACTACTCAGTCATATTAATGGAAACCAATATATTTTCATACCTGTTTCCCTRAACTAGTGCTCTGCAGAGATGTTGTCTCAGAGTCCTTTGGAGTACTGCACAGAGAAGGCGATTTATCAAACTCTGGTTCTTCCATCTTCAGATGAAAAGCAATTTCTGTTAAAAGAAAGATTAAATTATGCACACTGCCATTTTTAGCCTAATCATAACAGCCACATGGCTGCAGAGATGGGTAAAAAGCCCAGATAAGAAATAGCATGGCTTATTTTCTGTCAAGTTCAAAAAGATGGCTACTCATCTTCTACAACGATTTCATTTGCCATGAAAGATTTTGGTATGCGAACAGCTTTACTTCAAGAGGATAAATGACAGTACTACCAGGTATAAATCAGCTTACTATACTTCTGTTTACTATGTCTCCCTCACTCAAAGGCTATAGAAGATATTTTTTAAAATAAGAAAAATATTACAAAAAGCTTAYAGTTATTCTTCATTGCAAACTTTCTCCCACCTTCAGTGTTGGTGAGCTCTTTCAAGTGTTTGAAGCAGAATTTATGAAGGAACTCAGCCCACTAGACTATAATTCCCAAGGTTAGATACTACAACATCAAAATTAACAAAAAAAAAAAAACCACTTCAAACAAACTTTATTTTCTTCTTAACCTCAAAGACTCTTACTACTTGTTTAACTCACAGGAGTAATCCTTGCTAAAATGAGTAGCACAGAATCACTCCTTCCATTTATCTGCATCTCAAATAGAGATAAAAGAATTGCTGGGAGCCATAAGAAAATTTATTGTCCATCTATATAAACAACTAATCTAAAAAAACCAAAACAAATCCACAACCACTCACACATCCCCTGGTCTGTGAAAATAACCTACTCTTATTTGATCCTTTGGAGGTGCTACTTGAAAGAGTAATTACTCACAAAGTGGAATTTTAATTAAAACTAAGCCTCCCTAGCTTGCTCAGAAAAGCACCATAATGAAAATGATGTCACACCTCTCAGCATGCCTCACCTTTAAATTGACTTGGCAACATTTAAGTAAGTTAAGCACTTGTGAACACCTTTTAGTGACCAGCATGCAGCTGGAAAATTGTCAGCTATACCTCCCTGTACCTGGAAATTGTAATTAGGGACTTCAAAAGAAAAACCTCTTAAAAATCTGGGATCAAATTGCTGCACACCACCAGACTGGCACAAAGGGATTCCCCCTTAGATAGGGAGCTGGCCAAATCTTCAGTGTAACAAAGCTTTAAAACCGAGCAACTGGAGTCTGCCTGGCTCTGTAGCAAGGGCACAAATCCTCACTTATCTTGCAAGGCAATACTCCCCCCAGCTGTTCAAAATTCAACATATGGTTTCTCATTAAAAGAGAAAGACTTTGTAAAGGAACAAGAGTCAGATTAATTGAATACCTTTAGCAATTTGTGCATTAAAGAGGAAGCCCACAGCACACATCAAACATAAGTTATCACTATTATTTCTCAGACTGCACAAGAGSACCTGAAAAACACCTTTATAGCTTGCCAGAAGCACATAATGTATCTTGCTACCAAAAACCAAAACAATTTCAAGCCTGAGAGCATTTGTTCAAATCTTTTAAAATAAATAATAAAACCTCATGCCTCACTGCCTTTAGGTTGTGATGCACAGTGTTTGTATCCAAATGACCTTAAACACAAAGAAGAATTTTCAAGGGTTCACCGTCACTGTAACTCTTTGGAGTTGCATATTAACGATTCTCTTCTGTGYTGTTAACGCCTTCCTCCCAAACACCTCAGTCTAAGAATGCTTTGTGTTTTCAAGCTGTAACACTACTTGCCATACGCAAAATAAACAAATAAATAAAACCTGTGCAGCAAGTAACAAAAACATGGACTGGACGCAGAGAAGACAACTTTGCACTTCAGTACTTACYTACTTAATGTTTTGGACAACTCTCCGGCTTTGGGTGCCTCAGTTTTCCTGCTTGGGGCTACCCCACGTTACAATATTCATCTCACGTACAGTTTACCTCTCCCTCAGAGGGAAAGCAACGGGGCCGGGGAGCGCCCAGAAGGCTCCCAGACACCGGCAACTCCGTCTAACGAGACACACATCCCCGGCGCGCCACCCAAGCACCGAGGAGGCCTCACGGCAGTCGCGAACGGGAAAACCGTCGGCACCAACGGCCGCTCCCCCTCAGCGCGGCACGCGCTAGCACTCCCTCCCAACGGCCATAACGGCCCCAACAGTCACCCGCCCCACCAGGGGCCGCTTCAATTTCCCGCTTCCGGGCGGAGGGGGCGGGGCCAGCGGGCTTCCCGCCGCGCGCCTGCGCAGGGGCGGCCGGCGGGGGGCGCCCCGCGCGCGGAGCTGTTTCTGCGCCTGCAGAGCGGCGCGGGCGGGCGCGCGAAGCGGGGAGCGGCGCGGGCGGGCAGGGTACACGAAGGGGCTCCGGTGTCTTTGTCGTGTCACGGCCGGGTATTCCTGAGGCTCGGTGGCATTGTRGTGGAGGTGGTGCAGTCCAGTCGGACACAAAGCTGGCGCCACAGAAGAAGAAGGGACTGGAAGAACAGTMGGGATGGCAACAAGGAGTAGCCCCGTGCAGGGGCAGCCTAAGCTGTGGGGTCAGAGAGCGCCCTCGCATTTGGAGGGCTGCTGAACCAAGCAGAAATYTCAGTGTGGCCTCCTCAGCCACATCCCCTGCCACCCTGAGGCTTCATTGCCTATGCAAGTGCCTGTTTCTCCACGATGATCTGCATAAAAGTGTGTTTTACTAGTATACCTGTCAGGACTGAGAAAAACCATCTGAAGTAGCTGCAAAGGGCAAGTGCTGATGGAGGAGGTATCCATGGCTGCCCTGGCTCTGCCCATGGCAGGTCGGTATGAGGAGGCCTCACGCAGCGAATAGTGGCTGCTGTGCGTGTGGTTTGCAGGCTGGAGAGCCTGAGCATGTCGGGCCCTTGGGGTGTGGGGTGGCAGGGCAGTAGTTCCCTGCAGAGTCCTCACAGCGACCACGGAGCAGGAGGCTGGATTTATCCTTGCATAACTTCCATGGATGCAGAGACAGGACACACTATTACCTGGAGAGGTGAGCGCAGTGTAGGCCTGACATTGTATTGGTAGTTACCRTGTTTTTGACCATATATATATATATAGGTCAGCCACAGTTCAAGGAGAATTTGATAGTGAAGATCACATCCTGTTTGATTTGTTACGACAGCAGGAAAACTCACGTGATAATTATTGCTTGAAGGAATTCAGAGGTGTTGTTAAAACTCCAGTGTAACCTACCCCTTTAGTCTTTTATAATACCTGCAGCTAATTTCATGTTTAAAACTTTTTTTTAATTAGTACATCAAATAGGTACTGCACGGTACAACAGTAAAAGTTTTAAAACAGCTCCTCCTCCAAATTTACAAGTGAGCTGATTTTGAGATGCACAGGAGCTATGAGGCAGCATGACTCCGAGTTTAAAACATGTTTCCTTCTGTCTCAGCGATGGTCCCTTTCCTGAATTACTCATGCTGCGTTGCGCAGACACGCCGATGGCGGGGTTGCACAAAGACAACAACGTCTGAGACTTCAGATCTTTTGCCAGCGGAGATTCCAGGAAGATTTTTACAAGAACATAACACATGAAAAAGTAGATACACAGAACAGTCACCCTGTATGTGATCATTGTTATTTTACTGCACTAATGCCCACACACCCCACCCCATTTGGGGATTCCTCTGTACTTGAGACTGCGAGTATAGAAAGACAGTTCCACACATGGGGTTTATGAACTTACTATACTGCACAAGCAGAGAAGAAGAGGAAATTTATCAGTTTTATTCAGCACTGGGTAATCACTCTAGGAAAAGATCCTGTTTAGGAGTGGTATTAAGTGTTTACCTGTGTTTACCGGGTTTGCCTGTGTGATTCATCCTGTAAAAGCATGTGACTTGCACAATATCAGATCTGGCAGGAGAGCCCTGACACATCTGGGAACTAACCTGTGATCTTTGCAAGTTCCTGCCCAGTGCTTTTATTGCAGAAACCCAGGAGAGATGAGTGTTTTGTTATCCAAAATTTCATGGTTGCAAACAGCAATTCGACTAAAACCATTCCCTCAAGAAGTACATATTTGTTTCCCTTGAAGATAAAGAGGGTCTCCATATATTATCAATATTGGCATGTTTATGGCACCTTGTGTAAAATTTCTCATATTGTTTGATTACTTTTTATTTCTTTGGTGAMTGGAATATTTTTGTTTAAGCAAAATACCGAGAAAAAATATAGGATGCTGTTCACTGTGAGATAAAATTACTGAGATCTATTTGCAGAACATACSCTTTGAACTCATCAGAGCAATTTGTCTTCCTAAAGAACAAGGAGGAAAGTCAACTTCCTGGTTTTGTTTTCTGTATACTTTAGTACTTCCATAGTGACAATTTACTGATTTGATTTCTTCCAGTTAACACCAGTTTAATGGCAGACAATTCCAGGATTTGGCCGGACAAATGAAAAATACTCCCTATACACGGTTTCTCTCATTAATCTTATATTACAGGAAAAGCGCTGGAGTTCAAACATCACCACTGACAGGACAAGAATATTTTATAGCTCACTGCAAGCATCAGCTGTAGTACCAAAGCATAAGTAAGTAGAGGGTAACGATGAAGGAAACTGGCTCTGAATCTACAGACTCCAGTTTCACCTTTTTGTGCTGTGCACCTTCAGAGTAGCAGAAGAATCAGAAAACTTCAGTTTAGCCACTCGCTAGGCAAAAAAGCCAGGGCTTTTCTCATAATGCATTGGCAATGAGTAATGAAGGTGTTAGTCAACATAATAAATCTTGAAGTGTAAATGCATTGCCCTCTTTTCTCATTTTTCTGAAGTCTGTTGATCTTATTTCAAGCCAAGTGATGCATCCTGATGCATGAGTTACGCTCTGCACTGTTTGCATAATCCCTGTAGCCTGGGGCAGGAGGGTGGAGTGCTTTTTTGTGCCCAACCACTAACTGCTGCAGAAATTTCTCAAGTCCTACCCACTTCTGCATGGCCCTAAGGCTGTGTTTTTACTGGCTACGAAGGTTTGAATAATATTCGCTTCTCAGAAATTGTTCTAACTTGTTTATAGCRTGTAAATGTATCAAAAGAAGGGCTTTATAGACTGCATTCATGGAGTAAAACCAGTTTAGGCTACATCAAAACTTACCCTTGGAAGATACGAGTCTGCTCTCATAACTGAAAATGGCCGGTAATTACATTGAAGTCACTGGAATGACCCTAGCATAAAACTAAAGCAAAAGTAAAATTTTCCTTTTCTGCCTTTTGTCTGGAGCTTGTCTAGACTCTCCCTTATTTTTTACTTTAGTTTTCAAGGTCTTGTAAAGAAAAATTGTCAACTTATTATGGCCAAGGGGTGCTGCAGTTTCCTCTTAAAAAAGAAAGTCAGCTAAGAGGAACTTCCTACCTCTTACTGTTACATATGAGAATACTGAAGTGGGTGAGGCTCTGCTAATAACAGGGACCAATGTATGACAAGGCTGTCATTATTTTTATGTCCACTTGCAAGATTTTCTGTGATATAGTCATGCAAAAATTACAGCGGTGATTGAAGTCTTTACAAGACTGAAGCAGATAAAGGAAAAAAAATGTACCTTGAGTGCTCTCATCTTCTTTGGAGAACCAACTGATCGTTATTTTAAGAAATTTCAAACCCAACGCTTTGCCGAAACTTTTGTCATTTGTGACAGTCTCAGCATATTTTTGTGTTAAATCTATTTGCTCAATGTTGTTCTTAAGCAACGTGCAATCTTTACTGCAGAATGGCGGCTGTAGGTTATCAAACCATTGGACTTAGTCCCTGTGAAATCAAGGAGTCAGTGCATTTGAAGTCAAGGAGAAAGATCCTGTTGACTTCAGCTGGCCTCATGTTCAGTGAGATATGTAGGGAAATAAGAGGGWTTTTGCAAGGCTGTTGTGGAACATCCATCATTCCATGTGGTGCTGAAATACTGGCATTGCAACTGACTGTATTAGCATAAGTGTTTCATATTGTATTARTGGCCAACTTCCCTCTCAGCATGTTAAGGAAAGTATAGTTTGGATGAAGAACATTTGTCTTAAAAGGAGTTCAGGAAGGCTAAATTGATGGAAAAAAAAAATCTTAGGTTAACCAGATTATCAAGTGTTAGTCATACACTTTAACTGGGAACATATTCCCATCAGTAGCCCATGCAGCTTGAAGGTTGTGTGCTGATATCAGGGACCTCCATCACCTATGTCAATAGTCACTGAACAAGCTCCATGTCAGTCTCTCTCTCATGACAGACAGGCTATAGTGTTTCAAATAATGGCAGTGTAACTGAAAATCTCTCAATGTATTAAGAGCTGAAAGAAGAGTTATTCTATTCTTGATACCTTAACATTTAGTGTATTTTTCCTTGAGTTAATTGCAGGGATTTTGTGGGGTAGTATATGCCAGAATAAACTATTTCATCATTGTTAAATATTTGGCGGTAACTCAGCGCATGGGTGTGCATTGACAAGTTTTCTCTTGAAAGACTCCATAGGAGTGAGATCAACAGATCTAGCCTACCCCTGGAACTATGGAGTTTTAACTAATGTRTGACTTGCGGCTCCTTGAGTCTGTGAAAGCAGGCATGACTAACCTTGACACAGGGCACAAGGATGTCTGGATAGAAAGTCCTGTGTGGGATTCTTGCATTTTTGAGGATCACCTGCATGCGTATTAGTTAATCAGATGTGACAGATGGATGGTGAGGAGTATCATCAACATTGCTAGAACTGATACCTCTGTTTTGATCCTGTCAAGCCCTTTAGTGGAATATAAATTGCTACAGTCTAAGATTGCCTTTCCATTGCATATTTCCATTTTGTCCCATTGCCATGCTTATATTCCTGCCCCACAAATGCAGCCGTGTTCAAGTTGTTGCTGTAAATGATTAAGCTGCAGCAGAATGTTCGTCGTCTCAGGCAGAGGAAGCCTAGGAGATGGTGACCAATTTGGGAAGCTCTTGCACAGAGACTGGTATGTGCTCAAGTCAGAACACATAGAGTATATTTCACAAATGAACATTGACTGTGTTTTCCCCTACTAATCAGTTTTCTATCTTCGATGTCTTCTTATGAAAGAGTAATTTGTAACATGTTTATCAAACAACTTCTTAAAAATAACAAATCCAAGGCAAAGCATT